ACTGTATATCGCTATTTTTCGTCAGGCATACTTCAGACGCCTTGTTGTCTCCGGAGGAAGGACCCTTCATAATTCCAACATGGCGGCGTCCGTGCGGGTGTGCAGTGCCCTCCGCATCACCATCGGAGGTGAATTATCTCTGTGTTACTATCTTCCACGGCTTTACTTTAACGGCTCATCGTGTACATGGCAGCGTGTTGGTTGTGTGTCTGTTGTTAAAGTGTGAGTGACGGTTCGGTTCCGTTCGGTTCTGACCCGCGTCTCTGCTGCAGAGCTTCGTGATCAGACACGTCTGGAAAATAACCTTAAATCCAACACAGTCACAGGAATGCATTGCGTGCAGTTTGGAATAACATTTAGATGCTTCAATTTTAGACTTTTACAACAATAATTATTAAATTAGATGTTTTGTGTGTTTTAGAGGTCGAGGGTTCGTCACGTGTGTCAGTGCTGCGTGATGGAGATTTATATAAATTATCTAACATCTACATTATGGAAATGTTGCTGATTTATATTAAAGTTCTGTTTTCTGTAAATAGAAACTGCCTCCAAATAGTCTACAAAATAATATATACTATAATAGGCAGTGGTTTTTTTCCCCCTACCAAACTCCATTCAAAATTTCTTCAATTTAAGGTCGCCTTGCTTATAAGCCAATTAAGCCACATCCTTGATTACAGAACAACAGTGGCGCTTTGAGGGAGGGAGGCTATAGCCCCGAAAGCTCTATGAATAACACAATTTTTCTTTTATTTTCATTCAAATGGGTTAAAAGGCTTGACGAGGTGTGGAAAGAGTCATTTGCTGAGAGTCAGGATGAGAGCCGCTGTCTCATCTAAAGGCTCAGGCTGGTGAAGAGGAGAGATCTTTATCTTGCTAATTATTTCAGCCGCGGGTTGCCAACTCTCACGTTCTGTCTGACTAAACAAATCTTCATCAGGATCCAACAGTTAATAGATTTGTGTACTTTTGTCAGACAGGATCACAGTTTATACGATGCAGTTAAATCGTTTGTCCTGAGCTCCAGCACAGGTGTCATGATACTTACATTTTACTGTAAAAGCACCTGCATCCCCTTTCCTGAACTATTAAACAGGCAGATGTCCCCCTATATTTTGAATAAACATTATTAACCTATTAGATTTACTCATCTCAGTTCAGGTTGTAGCTCAGCTCAGTGGTTCTCGTACGATTTTTGGTTCAGCATTTATGGAAAGCACGCCTTTACACGTGATTGTAGCTCCGTAAATCATCACAATGAATCCCAAGGCACACGGTTTGAGAGCCGCTGGTCTAGCCTGCAGTCAGAGTGATATATGTGGGTTAAGCATAGAAAGAAAGTGGGAGGACCTCACTTAGAGCTCAGGGTCTCAAGTGTTTCAAGGGCCTAGCAAAGCCTCTGGACAACATCTGCTTCTGTCGGGCTTTACTAGTGTGTGACTGAGTATTTTTAAGTTTAAATTAGTTTTGCATCGAGCCTGATGTTGCTGCTGTTTTCATGTGACGTGTATTCACAGCTGTGTCTTTGTATAACCTGCATGCTGATGCATCTGTCTGTCCTCCAGGTGCTGCCCCGCTCCGTACCGTGTGGGGAGCCGTTCAGGTGTCTCACTTTACAACTCGAGCCTCAGCCGTCCCACTCCAGCGGCAGCCTGCACCTCCGCTGTTCCCTCCGACAGCATGGCAGCAAACCAGACATGGCAGCTTCTTCAACAAGTGTAAGTTTATGGAAATATTATTTTCCTTTTTCTTATTGTAGCCCAAAGTGAGCAACTATCCTTTAGCCATAGTCCTTATTCTACAATATCAAAAGCATACAGAAGGTTTAGATGGTGCAGGTTTGTGGTTGGTTTTTAATTTATTGCTAATAAAGGGTTTGGATGTTGCGAAGACTGTTTTGATTCTTAATTTCACTCAGACTGTTCCTGCTTAGCTACAGGTTGAAAAATCAGAAGAAATAAAACGGTTGCTTGTCTAATGTAGGTAATACAGTAGACATTTGTAAAAAGCCCCCACAGCTCACCTCGTGGAGCGGGGCTGTAGCTTTCCGACACAGTGGTCGTGGGTTCGACTCCCACCCACAACCCTTTGCTGACCCTTTCCAGTTTATCGCTACTGCTCTAAGATAAAGGCAAAAAAGCCCCAAAAGTATAATAAAAAACAAATAAATATTTGAACTTTGCGTTTTAGCAGAATTATGATCAATTTTATCTAAACTATGACGGCCAAGAGGTGCAAAACACAACAACAAAACCAAAATACATATTTTAAAACACACAGCAATAAAAGAAAAAACATAAACTACAAATGAGAAGACAGAGCATTAAAAAAAAGCCATTTCATGAAACAGTTTTCTCTTTTCTCATTTTTTGTGTTTTTTGTAAAGTGCTGTGTTTTGGGGTTTTTTCTGTTTTGTTTAATTTTGTGAACTGTAGTCGCGTTTTCTATTATTTATTTATTTATTTTTTTTAATATATTTTTTGGGCTTTTGCCTTTATTTAGAGCAGTAGAGAGAGAGACAGGAAAGGAGGGAGAAGAATTGGGGAGAGACCTGCAGCAAAGGGTCATGAGCGGGATTTGAACTCACAACCGCGGTGAGCTATAGGGGCGCCCCGCGTTTTCTATTTTGCTCATATATGTTTGGTGCTGAGCTGCAAGGTGGCTCGGTGGTCTTTCTGCGTGGAGTCTCCATGTTCTCCCCGTGCAGCGTGGGTTCTCTCCAGGTTCTCCGGCTTCCTCCGACACAGTCCAGAAACATGTTGAGGTTAATTGGTGATTCTAAATTGTCTGTAGGTGTGAATGTGAGTGTGCTTGGTTGTCTGTCTCTAAGTGTAGCCCTGTGATAGACTGGTTACCTGTCCAGGTGAACCTGCCTTCACCCTGAGTCAACTGGGATAGACTCCAGCCCCCCATGACACTAGTGAGAATTAAGGTGTAGAGATGATGGGTGGATGTTTGGTGCTTTTGCTATCTTTTGCACCTCAGTAGCACAACATTTATTCAGCTTCCAGAATAAGCCCAATGTGAGGGCTTTTCAATGATTTATGCTTCTGATAAAATGCTGCTTTAAATAGTAGAAACAAATGGGAGCAGATTCCAGCAGCCCAGTTTTAGAATCCTCTGGAGGCTCTTTACAAAATTGTGGAGAGACTTCCAGCAGCAGATTAACGCCTCCTGATCTGAAATGACGTGTTAAATTAGCATCAGGCGTCCACATACTTCTGACTGGTGTGCGTTTAAAGTGATTTTTTCCGTCAGAAGACTCAGGTGCATGTCGGCACAGCGTGTTTGGACAACATGTCACGCTGATGACAGTGCTGCAAACGGGCACATATGAGCCTGTCAAAACATCCCTCGTTTTATCTCTGCGTCTCTTGTTTCAGTCTCAGTCATTTACGGGCGCTGCCTTTTGCATTTCTCACACAATTAAATGTTTTGTGCCTGTCAACACGTCTCGCTCACAGGAGAACACAATCAGACAACCTGCCACACGACGCCGACTCTCTTTGTGAGCTCCTTTTTCTTCATAAATACTCTTTAAATATTTACTCTTGGGTGAGATTCGGTTATTTTACTTTTTACTGTGCAGTTTTCTCTTAATCTGTGGAGGCACTGCAGGTTATAAACTGGACCCGCTGCACTGTAAAACCCTCCTCAGGTGCGACGCTATGACTTTATTGTATTTTAATTACTCTCCCAAGGCGCTCCCATTCGTCACCGGCTGGACGTCTTTATTCGCAGCTCTTCCAGGCCTCGGGCTCCGCTCGTTGCAACGCCGCATTAGTGGCGCCCCTGAATTGTGAAATTACTCTTAACGAATTTTGCTGCTAAACACTTTGGAGAGATCTGACGCAAGTTTAGCAGCAGCCTTGTACCGGAGATGCTCCATTAATTAATGGTGGAGGCTTGTTGAGTGGAGCTAAACCTGCTGGTATGAAGGTTAAACTGAGGATTCCCCTGTTGTATTTAAAATCTGCTTTGTTTGCGGTATTGTAGCTCTTCAGTCGTGTCGTACAAACGACTATTTAGGACAAATTTCAGCAGGATTTTAAAGCAAATTTCCGTTGAAGTGGCTGCTGCTGGTCCTGTGACGTTGATGTAGTTCATTAAAATAACTTTGAGCTCCAACTAGTGATCAAAGTTCCTGTCATACAGTCGTGACTCAATAATCCGACCCTTAACAATCCTAAACCTGCTATCCGACAGGTTTTTAGGAAAAACGAACAGAACCCATAAAAACAGCCTTAACATAGCGACAGCCTTGGATTCTGACTCCGACATGACATTTAATGTCACCAATCAGGATGACGGCGTATTATCTGACTGAACAATCCCACAGATTGGCTACGTTCACACTGCAGGACTTGATGCTCAATGAGGATTTCTCTGTGAGTTCCTTCACATTTCCAGTTCAATGCGACTTGTATGTGATCTGCTGTGTGAACTTCATACGATCCAAAAGTGAGCGTGCTCAGTGTTTATGGAAGTAAACATGGATGGTAACGGTGGAGCGTATCTGCCACTCCCCCGCCGCCACCGATGGTGGAAACAGAAGTGTGAGCGCTAACTAAACTAGCATCAGCAGCCAAGTACTGCCTGTGTGTTCTGGACACTTCCACCCCGTCGGAGCGCTGCCCCGGGGTGGAAGTGTCCCCCGACCACGCTGAATATTCATCATTAATTGGGCCTGAATATCCAGAGACCAGAAAGTGCTTCTTGGGACCAGCCCTACTAGTTATTATAACAACTATAAACAATGAATATTAGCAACTAATGAGCCTTCCAGCATCAAGCCCTCCTTGTAGCTCGACCTTCGTCTTGACAATCCAACAGCCTTGCTATCCGACATAGAAGAAGGTTTTACAGTTAGTGTCGGATTATCGAGTCACGACTGTAGTACATTTATATTCATGTAGGACCAAGAAAAGCAGCAAATAGTTACATATGAGGAGCTGGAACCATCAAATGTTTTGCTTTTTTATTCAAGCATGTGATTCATAGATTTTTGAAATAGTTTTTAGTTGGGTTTTTTCATTTTTTTTGATGATTTAATCTGGTTATTGTAGCAGCTCGACAGTTATCAGAATAATGAACCGTGAGTTACTGACCTGGATCTCTCATTCAGTTGCCCGTTTCTTGGCAGCTAGCTTCTGTGTTTACTTTTGGTCAGACTGGGAGCTGAGCTCAAGAGTGCAGAGTCAGTGTTAAAGGGAAAAACATTAGGTTGATATAAACTGTAGCTAGAAGCAGGAGACATTTAAACACACCTCAGTGACTCGGACTGATGGTTTGGCTTCATGAATCATTCTCTTTATGCAGATTTACTTTGCTGCTGCTGCTAAACCAGAATCAGAAATACAGTATGGATCCTCAAAGGGTCTTTGAAATGGAAGCAGAAGATTATAAGATAAACCTCAGTAGAAAAATAAGCCTCAAATATAAACACAAGTAGAAAAGTGTCGGCGTAAAATGTAGAAATGTTCATATGGATTTGATTTCATCCGCTGCCAACGTGCAATCAGTCGTTTTGTTTTTTTTACCTGTAACAAAGAAAGTTCTTTTAGTTTGACAAATCTTTGGCGCTGTTGTGTGTCTGTTTGTTTAATTATTTATCTGTGTGTGTGTTCACAGTGACGGCGGAGGAGCTGTGGAGAGGTGTGCTGGCCGAGACCGGTGCCGGAGCCAGAAAAGGCCGAGGGAAGCGAACCAAGCGCAGAATGAGGAAGGACCTGAACCGAGGACAGGGCCTCGGAGAAGGTGAGACGTCAGCAGAAGACCTCTCTCTGTGTGCCTGCCTCTCCTCCAGTGCTGCCTCTCAGTGTCTAACTAATGCTAATAAGCAGAGGGAAGAATATTCTCTACTTTGTGTTGATTAATTTTTGATGCTGCTCTACTAGGGAGGGGAATTACCCGTCATCCACTCCGTCTGTCCTCTGTTTGGGTTTCAATCACTTTTCTTTTAGCTTCAGTTTGTCCGCCACACAATTCCTCTTTCGCTTCTTTCACCTCATGCGTCTGTGTTGGCGTCGAAGTCTTTACTCTTTGAAGAACAGCTTGTAATATATTCGTTAGAGGTCTGAAAATCAAGCACGCAGCTCAAGTCAGGTAATTAACAGGAGGCTGTTATTAGCTCATTGGTTCCATCCATTCCCAATCCAGGTGTTTAATACTTTAGCCGTGAGCAGAAACACATGGATAAGTGACGGAAAGTTTATTTATGTGCCACCTCAGTTCATTTCTTATGGTTTCATTTGAAGGAGAAGCACGTTTTTACTGCTGCTCTCCCCGTTTTCCATGTACGAAGATCAAGAATATAGAAACATGAAGCAGTTGTTTGTATATCTTCTCCCTTCTCATTGATGTTTTTTTTCCTCCCACAGGTCGTGGTGGTTTCCTGTGGCCCGGTCTCAACATTCCCGTGGTGAGGGACGGCACGTTGCAGAACATGGCTCGAAGAACTGACGCTGAGCAGCAGGATGTCGAAGCCCAACTGGGTACACACTGGCAAACACATTTACCGCTCATCTGGAAAACAAAATGAGCATAAATGACGAATCTTGTGCAGATATTCTGCCACGTAAACCTGTAGATCAAACATCACAGCTGTCAGTCAGCTTATATTCACGAGCTTCAGCAAAGCCAAGGAGGAGTCGTTCCACCAGAGAAGAAATTGTCTCCTCACGAGCCAACAGGAAGAATCACGGCAGGAGAAATGAGGTCTTAATTTTGAGAAGCAGAGCCGCCACTGGCGTGAGACCGAAGCTGCCAATTTGTCTCCGCTGTGATCCCCTCTGTTAACAGTGGCTGCTCAGATAATGTGACGATGACTAATAGCACCTCTGAGGTTCGTCACGTCGCGCTGCTTGAAGTCGGCTCTAAAAGTTTGTGTGTTTCTCTCTGCAGTGCGTCAGAGGGACGAATGGGACAGAAGGAGGAAGATGAAGGTGAAGAGGGAGAGAGGCTGGACTGGACACTCCTGGGGAGGCATCAGTCTGGGGCATCCTGACCAGGGACCCAACGGAGGTAAATCCAACACTCGCATCAAAAACCTGTTAATAGATTCAAGTGTTGAATACAATCTAGAAATAAGCAAAATAGATCTTCAAAACCACCCAGAAGATTTCAAAAACAAGTGACAGCGATCCGAAGCAGCGACTTCTAGCTGTGGTGTTGAACTCCAGGCACATTCAGGGCCTTTTATTTGTGGCCTCATTTGTCCCTGCAGTGTAAAGTCCTGCACCTCTATGGAAACAGCACAACCATGACCAGAAGCAGAGTGAACTAAAAAATGTCTTCTGTGCAGCATGACGCAGCCGTAATGCCATAAATCATAAAAAAAGACACAACAACAGTCGAATTTCTGTGGATTATTTGTTTTACAAAAATTCTGCAAACCTACAATCAACATGTACAGAATTTTGTGCACAGGTGTTACAGGTACTTTAAAAAATGTCTCTGCTCTACTATACTAACAGCAGAGACATTTTACGAGTCACGTTTTGCGTTTGCTGCTGCTATGTGTAAGCACAGCCTGCAGTTTAGCCACATTAAGCTAAAAACTCCCAGAATTTTTGTAACGTGACTGTTGGATGCAGCTGAATCGTTAAAGACTTCATAGTTGTGTCAAGGAGAGCAGAATTTTTAGTTTTTTGCAGAATCTGGTTACTGCAAATGGTTTATTTTTGGGAGATTTTTTTCATCAGACATGTTGAATAAAGTCACAACTTTATGCGGAGCAAACAGCACAACACATGGTTAGTTCAAGGACCATCAGAAATTTGAAACTCTAGTGACTCTTTCTGTTTCTGACTCTGATGTGATCAAACCTCCTCGTGAGTTTTATTGCTTCAGAGGGTGAACAACAGAAGATTCGATAACCTTTCCCTCCGTGTTGTTTTTGCGATCAACAACTCAAAAGGTCGTCGGAACCACGTCGACCCAAACACGAGCAGCAGCTGTTGACCTTCGCGGTCCGAACGGCGATGTGGAGATATAAATCTGGCTTCTGGGAAAAGCAACAATGGGCGTAGATCATGACACAGCTCAGTCACAGAGTTACACTCTGAGTGGCGTGGAAAGACAAGATGATGAGTGCAGCGCTGGAGAAAGAGTAGACGGATGAAGCAGCAGGACGAGTAATAGGGATGAAGCAGGAGGAGTAATAGGGATGTGCTGCTGTGTGTGAGTGAGGGAGTGACAGGCCGGTGTGGAGGCCCATTAGGACTGATGAAGAGGAGGGTTCGACCGAAGCCTCAAGTGGGACACTTTCCTAATTTAGAAAGACATCTCTCTCTCTCTATATCGTTTTGCTTTCTCCTGTTCACACTTTGTCCTTCTTCCCACCACATTCGTTTTCTTTATGTCACCCTTTCTACGTCTTTCACACGATAGAGCCTTCATCTTCCACTTGCATGTCCATTCTTGTCACTTCTTTACAACTTTATGCTTCGTCTCCTTTAACCTATTTTTCTCCGTCATATCCGTCCTTGCACATGCTGTCATTCTTCTTTTCTCTTCTTGGAAAAGAACCTCATATGATCATATTATTTGCACACTATAGAAGAAGAAAAAGAAATTGAATAGAAAGCTAACTACATTTTTCTTTTTATCGCCAACTACCTGAAAAGTTATTTTCATTACTAGCACACTTTTTTTTAAATTATTCCACCTGATTACAGAGAACAACGAGTCTCTCCATCACAGGAATTAACATATTATTCTTCCTGCTCTTACTGTGATGGCTCATGCAGACATGAAATGCATTTTAAAATGTCCACACCGACTTGGCAGAATAAGAACACAACCTATAAGCATGCTGTATTTCAAATCAAATCCAGTTTACTGTCATTTTGCTGCACATACAACAATAGATGAGAGGGCGTTTCCTCAGGATCCAAAAACTAAAAGCAATTAAATAAAGAAGTGTTTAAGCATGTCTGGATCAGCAGTTCAGCATTCTTGTGGAATGAAGCTGTTGATCAGTCTGGAGGTTCTTCCTTTAACACTACGGAAACGTTTGCCTTTTGTTCAAACAGTTCATGGAGAGGTTGTGAGGGAAGTTCAGAGCTCGCTGTCTGTCTGTCTGCATCCCCTCCAGCTGTCTGTCCGTCTGGGATGCTGTCATGGAGCCATGTTTCTGTTAAAGCAGACACACAGCAGTCCCTCCACTCTCTGAGGGTTTCTCTCAGCAAACTCGTCCAGCTTGTTGTGGAGGGAGCGAACATTGGAGAGCAGGAGGACGGTCCTGCTGGTCTGGAGGGGTTAGCCTTTAGCCTAGCATTTATCCCGGCTCTCTTCCTCCTCGTTTGTTAACATTCGTACTGTTTGTGCTTCCTTCTCTCTCGGGTAACTGCCGGCGTCGTCTCAGATCGGATTCCATGTTGGTGTTGTCTCATGTGTACTCTCCTGCAGACTGCTTGCATTCTGTATGACCTGTACCTTCAAAGCTTAGAATAAAACAAGACAAAGGCAACTCGGACTACTGGACTTTATTAAGATCATAGAAAATTTCCACAACAGTGTAGTATGTCCACATCACAACCGATCGCCGCAATCCCAGGGCCGTTCACTGTCCTGACGCCCAGCAAAGTCTCCTGGCTGCAAGTTTTGCAGAATGAACGTCTTGGATAGACAAGACACTCAAAACGTTCATGTGTTCGTGCAGCATTGCAACAACAGCTGCAGTTTGCAAAACAAAAACAGTCACTTTCAGGATATGTTAAGTCGCCTGAAACTTTTTCGCTACTGCAGATGCTTTAAGTGAAGTTTGAGGTGTTTCTCCTTTTCATTCCAAATGCGTTCTGGCTTTTTTCTTGTCTTCATCCAAATGCAAAACGTGTCCATACGCAACTGTTTTGAATTTGATGCTGGTTCTTGTGGCGTGCCTAGCGGGGAATCTTGAAGTAATGTTTCTGAAAAACGCATCTGGCATCGAGAACAAACGCCGCTCCGAGAGGCTGGCGCTGACGTACGGCATACAGAGGAGGGCACGTTGCAGCGTTCCATTTTCCTGACACGGATTATTAGAAGGCGCCGCACATTCAGTGGGTGTAAAAGACAAATTACATTATCTTAACACCGTCTAACCCCGACCACAGGTCTCTGTCTGAAGGCATTACATTATCACAGTGTTTCCCACCTTCTTGCTGTCAGTTTATTAATCCGTTGCATGCAGTTTTTTGTTTTTTTTGAGCAGCGTCTCTCGCACATGTAAATGGAGTCCAGCCATTATTAATACCATCAGTTGCACCGGTGGGCTTTGCTCTTATTACATGTCGGTATATCTGCCTCGTCTTGTTTTTGTGCTCGTGATCTCTGCTTCATAACACGCTGCCCTTCAGGGACAATAAAGACCCGCCGCAGCGTAATTGTTCTCGGCTTCAGCGGAGACTTTTAGCGTAGGCATATAAAATGTCACGTTTGAGTGGAACTGAGGAGAAACTTTTTTTTTTCCTCCCTCCTCCTGTAGCAGCGGGGTTTATCTGAGGACTCCAGGTTGAAGGTTGGCTTTAATATTTTATTGTAAACAGCCTCTGAAGCCCACAGTGGCGCGACTCCTGCCTAATCAGCTCTTCATTACCAACCCGGAGGACCACTGCCGGCTAATTCCGGCTGATTCACCGACGGAGCCGCTGGCCTCCCGTTCCCAGTCTCATTACGCGTTTAAGCCTCGGTCTTCGCTGGAATCGAGTCGAGCTTGTTTACCTCAAACCTGCTGACTGATGAGAGGCTGTAGTTACTTCTCGTACTCGCTTCTCTTTCATTTCCTCTTGATATTTCCTCTGCTGTCCCCGCGCTAACAAGCTCCCTCGCACCATGAAATACGCTGCTGCGCTCTCCCCTACATGCTCCGACGCTTTCCCTGCCTGTTGTGTTCGCTCACACAGAAATACACTCGGGGCTCGGCGAATGCGATGCAGAGCGCGGAGTCGTAACTAGGGCTGCTCGTCTCTGATCAGGTTTGGGTTCTTACAGATGGCGGGCTAATGTCCCAGGTGAGAGACAGGGATGTGAGTGTCTGCGTTTCCTCCTCTGAGCCTTTGAGTCAGCTCTCCTTTGTTGGTTGTTAATTGGTTAGAAGTAAACAGGCCGCTGTCGGGACGGTAGCATCCTTCAGAGGTCACCGACGATGAAGAGCGCAGGCTCGTTACGCTGCTGCCGCTGCTGCAAGGGCTTCTGGGTATTCGTTAGGCTAGCAGGAGAAGGCTTTAATGTGTTTATGGTATGTGTGTGTGTCTGTGCCTCGATGTGTGTTAAAGAGCTTTTTTCTTTCTGTTTTACCCGCAGAAACCTATGAGGACTTTGATTCTCGTGTGATCGAGGTGAGTGTCTCTTATCTCTTTACATACACAACATGTCTGGTGCGATCAGAAAGTTCTGAGACCGCGTGAAACATCCAAACAGTAGATGTCATGGATCAGCAGTGTTTAACAACGCAAGATTTTATGACCATTAGTAGGTGCTCAATCTCCAAAGCAGAGCGTAAATATCACTTCCTGTGTGAGGCTGCTGTCCAGGTTGAGCCCATTTTTATTTAGAGAATCCTCACTGGTGCTGAGAGGTGGGTCTGCAGCTACCACCAAGAGAAGAAACAGCCGTTCTCACACCGTAAGAGCCCAAAGTTTCCGTGACCTGACAAGGTCTCGTAGGTCAGGAGCGCACTCGGAGCGTGCACGCTGTTCTGTTCGGCATTCACGCGGTTGTGCACCTGGAACCAGTCGTGCATCCTCAGACTGTCGAGGCAGAGTTCTGCCGTAACGAGGAAGAACCTCCCTGAACCGCGGCACCATCTGGATCCTCCGGTGAGCCGTGCATCTGGTCACAGCGGGGTGATTCTGTACAGGGGGTGTTTTGTTTTTTTTTTGTTTTTTTTGGCCACAACAACACAGTCACTGCTTCCAACCTGCACCAGATTCATCTCTCCGTGACTTCCCGCTGCTCCCCAAAAGGAGAATTTAAGTTGACAGGTTGCTTTTTTTGACACTGTTTCGACGATCCAGCAGGCGGGGCTTGGCATGTTTAAATAACGGGACTTCCATATCGCCTTGAAAGCACTGCAGAAAGGGATGGTGGTCAAATTTTAATCAGATTTGATGTGTATAGGCTCAGTCTCAGAACTTTTGGATCTCATACAAGCTCATTAAAATCTAAAGAAAAGTCATTAATCTTGAATAAAACTGCATCATACCACGGACAAATCTGGTAAAGCATCAAATGTCACATTAGCTAAGCTTGAATTGGGAGAAATAATCTCTTTTCTTCAGCCATGTAACAACTAATTCTGCTGCTTTATTACTACTCTCAAGCCTCTAACGTAACAGGAACGTTTGCATGTTAACAGACAGCTGCTGATGTGGTCTTAGCTTGATTTGTTGTGGCGTTAACGGTGCCAGCGAGCCCCAGACCATCCAGGCTGACTAGTGCTGCTCTGTATGACTCGGCTGCCTCTCTAGTGAGGCTCTCGTCATGTGGGTGGACTCCACCGTCTTGGGCTGCAGCTGCCAGTGATGCTCCTCGTTCTGCTCGCTCTAAGACGTGAGCTGGAGCTGCAACCGGTTCACGTCAAGCTCACAAGAAGGACTTTAAAAAGCTCCAGCTGCAGTCTGTGGAGTCACTAGAAGCTCACTGGAGAGGCAGCTGAGGACAGCCACATTCAGCCCCTACTGTACTTTAAGTTTAAAAAAAAAACTGTCGGGGGAAGTCGAGGAAGCTCCAGCTTATTGTGAGTGTTCTGCGCCGTCTCTGACTAAATCTGACTGTACAGGATAGCGCTGCAGAACGCCTCAGAGCGGGGAAACTGCTTCCAAGAATCTCAAAATAGTTGGAAAATCCAGTGTGGCGTGTGCACATGGACGGCGTTGGGGGCAGTTTGCATGAGTAAGGAATAGCTGCCCTGGAGCTGCCCTGCGTTTCTGCTGCGCGGCGTTAGCGCTCCCCGAGGCCACGTCGCGTAATTTCTCGAAAGTTGTGCAGTTTGATGCAAATAAATCACGAAGCCGTACGTATTAGAGAGAGAGGGAGATCAGAAGCATGGCACGGACGGTTCATTTAGATTCCCCGTCTGTCGTGTTGTAGTTAACCTTAATTCAATTAGCACTAATGGACCCGGCTGAACCAACAGAGGTTATGGCACAAGGTCGCACACACATTGTCCTGTAAGGAGATGAGTGCACGACGGCCGTAACCTGGACGTCAGGTTTTAATTTATCTCCAGTTGATCTGCATGTTACGCCCACATAAGGAACATTTAAGTGTTTTCTTTTTCTTTAATTATCCGCCAGCTTGTACCCACATGTGTGTGTGTTTAGTTGTGCGTCTCTTCCACACACACACACTATTGGACAGCATGTGTGTGTGTCACATTGATAGTCTTCCCCAGCACTCCTGTCTGCATAAATAAGAGCGGTGTCACAGACATTAGACTTCCCCCTGGAAACCGACAGACGCTTTTATGGTGCCATCGCTTTCTATAAATACATCCTCCGTGGGTGAGTGTGTGTGTACGCGCGTGTGTGTGTGTGTGTGTGTACCACTATAAATTCAGGCCTAATGAAATGAAAGAGGCTTACTGGAATAAAAAGGCTTGTCTCCCAAGGACGATGATGCTGGCATGCCATTAGTGAGCACATCCAGCAGGAAGGTGGGGGAGGTGGAGGGAGGAAGAGTGGGAGAGAAAAGGGAGAGAGGCGGAGGAAAAGTTGTGAAAGTGAGTTAGGAAGTCAGAAGGTGAGGAGAAAGTAGAAGAGAGAGAAACACGAAGACTCCTAAACACCTCCTCCTGTGTGCTGTTAACGGTAAAACGAGGTAATTAATTAAAGAGACGGCTCATAATTCAGTATGTTGGTCGTTTAGTAAGTAAATATATTTAAGAAAAGATTGATCCATAACATTATATCCAGGAATTCTACTTCCTTGTTCTACAAAAGTGATGATTTTCTGTGCATTCGCTCCAATCTGTTCTGGGAATATATAATACAATAACTAAGTTTTGGGGCTGGTAGCAAAACTAAACTTTATTTTAAGGAATAAAAACTTATTTTTTTACACTTTTATTTTCTGTTAGCACACTCCAGCACACAAGGAGTTAACATGCAGCAGTTCTGTTTCCCTTTAAGTCGCTGTAAACTTGTTAAAATCATCTTTTCCCAACTCTTCGTTAAGTCTATATGATGTTTACACTGAGAGAACTTTTAAATACTGTTTTGCAGAAGAGCCCCACTCAGTGTTTTTGGATTAGATTTATTTAAATGTCACCAATATTCAATCTAACACATCTGTTGTCTTTGGAAACTTTCATAACTGAGCTAGAATTTTCTGGTTATTCTGAGTTAGTTTGACCCTCCACGCTGACGGGACGCCGTTCGTTAAGAGGTGAAATCATTCCTGTGATGATGAACCCGACCGGACGTTTGTTGCCAGCTTGGCACTTTTCAGCGCTCGATTCTTCAGACATGTTACCGCAGACATAATGAGAATTGATAGCAAGAACTCAGAATGTGCGCCGCAGCGTGACTCATATCGACTGACGTTAATGCTTACTCCTCGCTTTAGGATGTCCGTTTTATTACAGGAACTCGTGGTATCCCTTTTTCCCACCGAGGCGGTCCGAGGGCCGGATCGTAGCTAAATCTCAAAGGAGTGTTTCAGCAGCCAAAGAGAAAGTTCTTGTCAAGGAAGTCTGGAAACTAGAAATAAGCCGTTTACTTCAGGGGCTATGGGCGGGATTATCGTGACTAACGAGACCAACTAAAACTTTATGACTGCCTTTTCTTAAAAATATTTTTTTAAGAGTTTGCCTAATTAAAATAAAGACAAAGAAACAGAGCTTCAGTATAGCTGTAAAACTGAGGCACTTGTGCCGAGAAAGCTGAATATTCGTCTTAAATGTTTGATGTTTTGGTATAACCAGATGGTGTTAAACACTGGTGCAGAACTCCTAAACACCATGCACCATTTGCTACGGTGTTTATAAATGCCGATTGGAGATATTAAAACAACAGCAGCAGGGAAAATGAGACAAACCATCTCCTTGTACTGTGGCTACAGAAATTCAGAAAACACTAAAGAGAAATACTGAAACTGAGGTTCAAACAGATGTATACCGACTCTATAGAGGCTCTGTAGTTAATGGAGAAGCCAAAGAAGACCTACTCCCTGATAGGTTATTGCTGAATTTTGAATAAGTTGCTGATTGGTATAGTTAAAAATAAATATGCTTGTTATTTTGTAAATGTATTTGGTGAGGGATCATTAAAGCTTAACTTAACTTAGCTTAACTTAGTTTAACTTAACTTAGCTTAACTTAAGTTAACTTTGCTTTGCTTAACTTAACTTAACTTAACTTAACTTAGCTTAGCTTAGCTTAGCTTTGCTTAACTTAACTTAACTTACTTAACTTAATTCAACTTAACTTAACTCAGCTTAATTTAGCCTAGCTTAGCTTAACTTAACTTAACTTAGCTTAGCTTAACTTAACTTAACTTAACTGTTGTAGGTCTTTAGCTGGACTGGTTGGTAATCATCTCACTTTTTTTTTTTTTTTTTTTAATCTCATGAGAAAAAATTCAAACTGCTAGTTCGTACAGTGTCCATTACAAGGTTAAAGCATGTTTAGCTTGATGTTAAACAAAACCTGTATTTTGCTCTTTGTGCTAAAGAAATACCATGAAGCACAGCTAACGGTAGTAGATGATATAAAAGACATGCAGACAAATAAAAGAGGAGCATTTAGTGCAGTTAAACATTTTTGCACTGGCATAAAATATGAAATAATAAAACACGTGAGTGATTGAACTACACATAGTTTTTTGACATTTTCATAAAATTCAAACACTTTTGTATAGAAAAATGGATCAGTTGTAGTGCCAAAGCCCACAGAGAATCATCCACCAACTTTATGGAGCTTTTCAGCCTCTTTTAGTTTGTTTGTTTTGGTTTTCCAGTCCATAGCTTCACTGTTTTGGTTCAGTTTCACAGGAAGACAAAGTCAGCATCCAGCAGGTGAATGTAGCAGAGCCTGATATTTCCCTCAGTAGTAGGAATAAACCAAAAGAGAGATTTTTCTTCATGTCTGCTGGATACGTAAGTCAGCATCTGTCTACTAACCTATTAGCCTCGACAGCTTTATAGATAGCTTTATACATGTCAGCGTTGTGTTTACAGCTCGTCGCTTTGCCCCCAAACAGTCAGAACGTCATAATTTATGCAGGCGAGTGAGAATCAGCGAATGAAGAAAGTTAATCCAATACAAAAGCCTCGCAAATTCCCATCCAGTTAAACAACACGTCTCCGGCGGAGGCACGACGACGAGGAGGAGGAGGAG